CCTAACAGCGATGTGTAGAAGCATATCTGAAAGCATTCCCCTTAAGATTCAGATGAAAATCCAGTTGTCGAATTCTGCTGTTCTCGCAGTCGTAGTCGCATTCGCGATGACAGTCGCAGCGGCAACGGCAGTCGCAGTCACAGCCTCAGCCTCAGCCTGCCTCCTCCTCCTCCTCCTCTTTCTCCTGCTCCTCCTCCTCCTCCTCCTCTTCCTCCTGCTCGTCCTCGTTCTCGTCCTCCTCGTCTTGCTCGTCCTCCTCCTCCTGGTGCTCTCTCCTCCTCCTCCTCCTCCTCCTCCTCCTCCTCCTCCTCCTCCTCCTCCTCCTCCTGGTGGTCCTCGTTCTCCTCCTCCTGGTGCTCTCCCCCCCCCTCCTCCTCCTCGTCCTCCTCCTCCTCCTCCTCCTCGTCCTCCTCCTCCTCTTCCTCCTCCTCCTCCTCCTCCTCCTCCTCCTGGTAGTCCTCCCCCTCCCCTCCTCCTCCTCCTCCTCCTCTTCCTGGTCGCCCTCGTTCTCGTCCTCCTCGTCTTGCTCGTCCTCCTCCTCCTGGTGTTCTCTCCTCCTCCTCCTCCTCCTCCTCCTCCTCCTCCTCCTCCTCCTCCTGGTGGTCCTCGTTCTCCTCCTCCTGGTACTCTCCCCCCCCTCCTCCTCCTCCTCCTCCTCGTCCTCGTCCTCCTCCTCCTCCTCCTCCTCCTCCTCCTCCTCTTCCTCCTCCTCCTCCTCCTCCTCCTCCTCCTCCTCCTCCTGGTAGTCCTCCCCCTCCCCTCCCCTCCTCCTCCTCCTCCTCTTCCTGGTCGTCCTCCTCGTCCTCCTCCTCTTGCTCGTCCTCCTCCTCCTCTCCTCCTCCTCCTGCTCGTCCTTCTTCTCCTGCTCCTCCTGCTCCTCGTCCTGCTCCTGCTCGTCCTCGTCCTCCTGGTCTTGCTCGTCCTCCTCCTCGTCGTGCTCTTGCCCCTGCTGAAAATGTGGCCCAGGAGTGGGAGTTCTGGGAAGTCGAAGAGCACGAAGTTGCCTACAGTGGGCTACGGGCATTCAAAATGTGGCCCGGGAATGGAGTTCTGGGAACTCGAAGAGCACGAAGTGGCCTACAGTTGGCTCCGGGCATTCAAAATGTGGCCCGGGAATGGAGTTCTGGGAACTCGAAGAGCACGAAGTGGCCTACAGTTGGCTCCGGGCATCCAAAATGTGGCCCGGGAATGGAGTTCTGGGAACTCGAAGAGCACGAAGTGTGTGACTGTTGCATCCGGCCCTCCAGAATGTGGCCCGGGAATGGAGTTCTGGGAACTCGAAGAGCACGATGTGTGTGACTGTTGCATACGGCCCTCCAGAATGTGGCCCGGGAATGGCGTTCTGGGATGTCGAAGAGCACGAAGTGTGTGACTGTTGCATCCGGTTATTCTAAATGTGGCCCGGGAATGGCGTTCTGGGATCTCGAAGAGCACGAAGTGTGTGACTGTTGCATCCGGGTATTGAGAATGTGGCCTGGGAATGGAGTTCTGGGAAGTCGAAGAGCACGAAGTGTGTGACTGTTGGTGAAAAACGAGCCCGGCACCTGCCGCCCGGCAACTCCCAACACCTGCCCGGACCCCCCTGTGGAGTCATCTGCTGCTCTCTTTTGATCCCACTAGAAACCTATCAGTCTTCGCTGTTAGGTAAATAACGTAGCACCCCGCAGTTGCAGTTAAGAGTGAGGGGGCGGCGAGGACGTCGTCAGTCTGCGAGGCTCTGACGAGGCCCGCCGCAGGCGCCGAGCTTTTACAAGTTATACAGTGAGCTCGCCGCAGGCGCCGACTTCTTCGTCAAAGCAATGTGGGTGAATCGCGGGGTGGGTCGCGGGTGGGTCGCGGGTGGTCGCGGGGTGGGTCGCGGGGTGGGTCGCGGGGTGGGTCGCGGGGTGGGTCGCGTATTGGTCGCGGGTGGGTCGCGGGTGGGTCGGGGGGTGGGTCGCGGGGTGGGTCGCGGGTGGGTCGCGGGGTGGGTCGCGGGGTGGGTCGCGGGGTGGGTCGCGGGGTGGGTCGCGGGTGGGTCGCGGGGTGGGTCGCGGGGTGGGTCGCGGGTGGGTCGCGGGCGGGTCACGGGGTGGGTCGCGGGGTGGGTCGCGGGTGGAGGAGGAGGAGCTCGACGACGACGAAGCCGAGGACGACGGCAAGGACGGGGACGCGGAGAAGCAGGACGACGACGACGATTCCGAGGATTGCGGGCAAGCCCGCGCGAGGCGCGCGGCGAGCTCGAAGTCACGCGGGAGGGCCTACGCGAGCAGAGCCAGCAGCGCGGCGTGCTCGAGGATGCCCTTGCGAAGGCGCTGGGGGGAGTGCGACCCTCAACGGATGGGCGCCGATTGCGCCGCCGACGACGACGACGACGAAGACGACCATGACCACGACCACGACTACGGCTTCCGCGACGACGACGTCGACGACGACGGCGACGACGACCACGACGGCGGCGGGGGCGGCAACGACGAGGGCGACAGCGACGAGGGCCACGAGGACAGGGGCGAGGGCGAGGAAGGGTGGGGAGGGCGACGGCGGAGGCGACGAAGATAGCGAGGAGGAGGAGGAGGAGGAGGAGGAGGAGGAGGAGGAGGAGGAGGCGGAGTCATGGAGCCCTTCCCTGGTCTCCGTGCCCGAGGTACCGTCGAGCATCGTTGAAAACATCTCTGCCATCTTGCACCCACCACGCGCGCGCCCTGGCCTTGCTGCAAAGACGCTGCACCCTGAGCCCACATGGCTCTGGGGGAGGTGGTCGATGAGTAAAGGAGGGCTCATGGCATGGGTTCGACCAGCAGGCGGAGGTGAAGGTGGTCGAGGGAGGGAGGATGCGTGAGTAGGGAGAGGATGGCCTCGTCCTCCTCCTCCTTTCCCCCCCTCCCCATCCCTCATCCCTCACACGCTTCGTGGCCCCATAGGTACTCCACCCAAGGCCCCGTAGGGAGCTCCACCACCGCAGGCCCGGCGGCGCAGCCCGCACGGCGCATCCGCGCCCCACTTGGCACGCCCCTCGCACGTGTCGCGGCCCCGTGGGGAGCCCCTTCCACCGAAGGCTCCACCGGCGCAGTCCGCACGGCGTACCGACGCACGATTTGGCACACCCTTCAAAAAGGTTCCGTGGCTGCACAGGGAGGTCCACCGACTTCGGCGCGGCGCGGCGCCGTAGGAAGCTCCACCGAGGGACCCATCGGCACAGTCAGCTTGGCGCACCCGCGCTCGGTTCGGGGCATCCCCCGCTTGTTTCGAGCCCCCTGGGGGAGTCCCACCGAAGGCCCCAGCAGCACAGTCCGCGCGGCGCATCTGCACCCGATTCGCCACACCCTCGAACGTTTTCGTGGCCCCATAGGGAGCTCCCTCCACCGAAGGCCCCAGCGGCGCAGTCTGCATGGCGCATCCGCGCCCGATTCGGCACAAACCTCGCACGCTTCGTGGCCTCATAAGGGAGCCCCCATTTACCGAAGGCCCCAGCGGCGCAGTCCGCTTGGCGCATCCGCGCCCGATTCGCCACACCACTCGCACGTTTCGTGGCCCCACACGAAGCTCCACCGAAGGCGCCTGCGGCACAGTCCGCACGGCGCATCCGCGCCCCAGATTCGGCGCGCTTCTCACGCTCCGCGGCCCCATAGGGCGCCCCCCTCCACCGAACGCCCCAGCGGCGCAGTTCGCATGGTGCATCCGCGTTCGATTCAGCACACCGCTCGCACGTTTCGTGGACCCAGAGGAAGCTCCACCGAAGGCCCCAGCGGCACGGTCCGCATGGCGCACCCGCGCCTGCTTCGGCGCACCCACCACACGCTCCGCAGCCCCACGGGGAGCTCCACCGAAGGCCCCCGCGGCGCAGTTCACGCGGCGCGCCCGCGCCAGATTCTGCACGCCCCTGACGCGCTTCGCGGCCCCACGAGGCGGAGGCGGAGGCGGAGGCGGAGGCGGAGGCGGAGGCGGAGGCGGAGGCGGCGGCGGCGGCGGAGGAGGAGGAGGAGGAGGAGGAGGAGGAGGAGGAGGAGGAGGAGGAGGAGGGAGGAGGAGGAGGAGGAGGAGGAGGAGGAGGAGGAGCCAGTGCAGGCCCTTGACGTGGCGGTGCCCGCGCGGCGGCCCCTCCCCACTGCGGCACGTCGTTCGCACGCGCCGCGGCCCAGTGAGTCGACCCACCGCAGGCGGTGCCCGCAACGGCGGCATCCACAATCTCACACGGTTGGCGCCTGCGCCAGGATACTCGTTTATCAAGGGCTCCCCCGAGGGCGCGAAGTTATTCGCGCTTCGCGCTTCGCGGTCCTCGTTTCTCCTCCCCCTCCTCCTCGTCCTCCTATTCTCCCTTTGGGAGGGCGGCGCGAGAGCGCGAAGTTATTCGCGCTTCGCGCTTCGCGCAGCGCGAAGCGCGAAGTTGGGAGCCCTAGTTTATCTCCCCCTCCCCGCCCCCGTCTGAAACGACTGGTGTTGTTTTTGTATTGTTGCTGTTGGCGTTGTTTTCCACCCGTGGTTGTCCACATTTTTCCCTGGCCCTCTTCTCAGCGGAAATCATGTTGTGTCTCATTTGCAAATTGATATCCGGCGCGCGGCTTGCACATGCAATCTTTTTGCGCGACGTTTCAATCGGATTGTTTTTGTCGGCTGTGTGCAGTTTGATTTCTACTGCGCAGGTTGCCCCGGGAATCTGTTTACGTTGCCTTCCAATCCGTGTCCTTCTGGCGGCCATTCACACATTGATTCTTTTTGCGTGGGTTCCACATCGAACTCTGTCGCGCGGCTTTGCACTCGAGTCCCTTCTGCGGGGGGGGCGGGCATGCGCGTTGAAGTGTCATTGCGCGGAGGTGCCTCCATCCCTGGAAGGATTTCATTGCAGTGGGTTCCGCCAATCAGTCGGGTTCCAGCAGAGGCGGAGCACAGCCACCTCCAATCGAATATCATGAGAGGTGGACCCATCCCTAAGAGGATTGTATAGAGGTGGCTCCGCACCCAATAGGGTGCAAAGACAAGTAGAAGCTCCTCGGATGCATTCATTCCAGGTGTCTCCATCCGCAATGAGACTCGATTGGAGGTGGCACTGGGAATTCTACTAGAGGTGGATTTGCCTCTAATGGGATATGTTACACGTGGCTCCATCCTTAATCGGATTCAAGTAGAGGTGGGCCCACCTTTTATCGGAGTATGCTATCGGTGAGTTCTTCATTCGTCGGGTTTTATTTCGGTTTGCTTCATTCGAAAACGGATTATGTTAGAGGTGGGTCCATCTCTAGCAGGATTCCAATATCGATTGGTCCATTCCTAGTTCGAGTATTGCAGAGGTGGTTCCATCCACCATGTGATACTATTGCAGGTGGTTTCAAGCCTGCTGAGATTCCTTCAAAGGATTGCAACACAAGTGGCTTCTTCCCTGGTCGAAGCTTATCTGACGTGGTGCGATGTACATGCGCATTGGCTTTAATGTGCGGATCATACATGGAATCCTTGAACGCTGCTTTTCATTCGGATTCCTTATGCGGGCGATACATAGCTTGATTCGTCGTGCGTGGTCTGTGACACTCTGCATAAAACGGCTCTTTTGTTGGAAGATTCACACCGTGAATCATGCTGCGTGGGGGCGGCTCCACCCCCTAATAGATTATAGCGCAGGCGGCCTCGCCGTTAATCGGATGTGATTGAGGGTGGGTCGCATCCACCTCGAATCGAATATCTTGAGAGGTGGGTCCATCCCTACGGACTTCTATTAGAGGTGGTGGCTCTGTTCCCAATGGGATTCCAACAGGGGGTTATTCACTTACAAGGGACAGCGTGCTTCAAACTCTTCCATTCTTAATCGGGTCCGATCGGAAGCGGATCATCCTCCCCAATGAAACCCCATTGAGATGGCCATCATTGAGAGCCACCTCTAGAAGTGAATGAGAGGTGAATCCTCTAGGAGCCACCTCCACACATTAGAGTTCAAGATGTAAGCCCCCCGCAAAAGGAACCCTCATCAAAAGTCGCACAGGGGGTCATATTTGCACTCGAATTCATGTGTACACCGCCCACGTAAGGAATCCGATTGAGAAACTGCCCCCCAAAAAAGATCCGATGCGTGATCCACGCAGTATAAGTCATTATGCAAATCGCAGCACCTCGAAGAAAACCCGATCAAGGAAGGAGACACATGTAATATAATATTTGTCCGAATCCGATCAGGTTTGGGGCCACCTGTTAAGCGTATGAGGGATGTAGCCACATCTCATCGAATTCGATCTAGCGATGGATCCGTCGCGAATGGAATACTATCAGAGATGGGTCCTCCTCTAACCGAATCCGACGCAGAATGAAGCAGTCCGTCGTGCCCTCCTACCATGGAAGAGTTCATGCCGAATCGAATCTTATGATAAGTGGATCCACATCCGCTGGAATCCTGCTAGCGCTCGTTGAGCCCGGTGACACTTCCACTTCGTCCGGCTTCGATCCTTTGACGTTCCTCGTTCCTCTCTTCCCTGACTAGAGAGGCCCAGGTACTCGCAGCGTTCCCCCCTCCAGTTTCGACGGCGGTCGGTTTCGCCCACGGTCGGTCTCGTTGGGGTCGGCTTCGCCGGGGGTCGGCTTCGTCGGGTTCGGCTTCGCCGGGTTCGAGTTCGTCGCTGGGGTCGGTTTCGCCAGGGGTCGGCTTCGTTGGGTTCGGTCTCGCCGGGTTCGATTTCGTCGCTGGGGTCGGTTTCGCTGGGGTCGGTCGGCTTCGAGGGGTCGGTTTCGCCGGGGTCAGCTTCGCCAGAACCCTGTGTGCCCAGCGTGGGCAGCGTGCGCGGCGGACGGGACGGGCGGTCCGGCCTTGACGGGAGCGTCGGGTCGGGCGGGCAGACCCCGCCGGGCGATGCGAGCCGGGCTGGCGGTCTGTTGACGGTCGAGCCGGGACAATAAAATACGATGCATCATCGAGTTGGCACGCGTGTTTGGCGGGCGGGCGAGCCCTAATGGGCAGACGGGTTGGGTGGGGACGGGTACGCGCGTCCCGTCCGCGTCCCGTTCTTTGGCGAACGTCGGCCTGGCGCCATCTTCGCGCCGCCGTGACCTCCGCATGTGCGACGCAGAACAGCCAGTTCGACGGTGCGGACATTCGCGCGTACGTAATTTGCCTGCGTAAGATGGTTCGTGAGCGCTCTCTTTTCGAATGTAGGGTGCCGAGCTGGGCGGCCCGCGTAAGCACCGGCGTAAGGTTTTTGTTTGCCTTCTCGCGTGTAAGACCCCGTTTCTTGTCGTCGGTCACTTGGCTTGCTGCGCAGCTTCGCTGCTCCGACACGCCCGCGGTGAAAGGCAGCACGTACCGTGTCCAAAACGTCCGTGTTGATACGTTGCGTGTTAATTCGGCACGTGTTGGTCCACGTTTTGTCGAAAGTATCGCGCCAGACCTAAGTTTTCAGGCTACGTGCGGAGCTCTGTTTCGCAGCTACGTGTGAGCTGCTCAGTCCTTTCCCTTACCCTGCCCCCGAGGCCACGGAGGGCTTGCAGGCCACGCGGGCGAGCCTAGACCAGGAGAGGGAGCAGGGCAAACTCTTGCGAGAGGAGCTGGCGAAGGCGGCCTCGCCCAGCGATGTGTTGCTTGTGTTGGGTGGCTTGGCTGCTTTGAGTCCTCAACTCGAGCTTTCGGGCCCTCCCTCAGATCGATAGGACAGGGGGGTGCCTTTACGCGCCCCGGGCTCGCCGTAGCCAGAAAAGCCCCGTGCGCTTCTTACAGCGCTCCTCGTGGTCGCCTCACGGCTGCATTGGCATGATTCAGGAGGGAAAAAAACACACAGACACAATTAATCGTCGACTCCCAGGAAAATATGGGAAAATATGGGAATTGGGGGGGAAGACAAAAACCCAGAAAATATGAGAAAATATGGGGGATCCTTTTATTTGTGTCTATTTATTTGTGTGTCCCAGGGCCCCTTCAATGATTATCACCAGGTGCGGACGTCGCGACAGTTGCGACGAGTTTTTGTGTTTTGTGCCGGGCCTGGCACTCTCGTGGATCGACCTGTCTCGGGAGAGGTGGGGACCGAGAGGTGTGGTCATGGCGTCGCCAGGAGAGGTGGGACCGAGAGGTGGGACCGAGAGGTGGGACCGAGAGGTCATGGGGAGAGGTGGGACCGAGAGGTGGGACCGTCATGGCCGAGGGACCTGTCTCGGGAGAGGTGGGACCGAGAGGTGGGACCGAGAGGTGTGGTCATGGGTCTTCGCGACGCCATGGCGTCCCACGGCGTCGGACCTCGTGGTGCACATGACCTGGCCAGCCTGGGAGAGAGCTGGGTACACATCTGGCGCGCTCCAGAACGTGCCTCGCCTTCGGGGCGCGTCCCGCCCACGGCGGAAGTGGTGGAGGGAGAGCGGCAGCTGGCCCGCTGGCGGCAGGCGGCGCAGGGAGAAGCGAGCCTCGGCGGCGAGCGAGGGGGGGAAGGGAGAGAAGGGCGGGCCTTCTCAGAAGGCTCGGAAGTCCCCCGGACTTCTGAGAAGTTTTCTAGCGAGGGGGGGAGGGAGAGAAGGGCGGGCCTTCTCAGAAGGCTCGGAAGTCCCCCGGACTTCTGAGAAGTTTTCTAGCGAGGGGGGGAAGGGAGAAGGGCGGGCCTTCTCAGAAGGCTCGGAAGTCCCCCGGACTTCTGAGAAGTTTTCTGAGCCCTCCCCGAAGTTAGACAAAAAACCTCACCGTACGTGCCCTGGCCCGGGGCTTCCCGAGTCGGCCACGTGGCCACCCGTCTCTCCTGCGAGCGGCCCCTGCGTGGCCGGGCACGCCGGCCCTCCAGAGAAATGCGTCTCCAGCGGGCGCCTCTTCCGCGCGCCTGCGTGCGAAGCCCCCCCCCCCCCCGCGAGTGTTTGTGGCGTGCAAGTTGCGCCCTCGGCCGTGATGGTGATGATGTGACGGGAAGTGCCTCCGAGACGTGTGTCGCTGCCTTGGAGCGCTTTCCATTACTTCTCATTACCACAGCGCGCCACCAGAAGCTCCGGCCGAGCTCTGCCGCGTCCAGGACGCCAGAGCCAGCGGTTCTGAGGAACTCGCCGGTCTCGGCAAGGCTCGGGTCCTGGAAGTGCCAGATACCAGGGGCAACGTTAGGGGGGGGGTTGGCTCATCGCCGAGTGACCGTTGATAGGGACCCGACAGCCTACCCCGCCCAGCAATCTTTGGATTCGCCATCGAGGGTCGATTGCCGATCCATCGGCGATGTATTGCCGATTGCAGTTTGATGTTCTCCTCCCCCCCCAGCTGGTCCCCCCTAACGCTCCCCCTTCAGAAACAACCGTCGCGTTCCCTGTTTTGGCCACTCTCTGCGCCGCATGGGTCGGCAATGTGTTCCCTTCCGCTTGCACTTGGCAAGAGTGCATGTTCAACAATGCGTCGGACTCCATGGGGTAACTGAGGTTGAGAAGAGTCTTTGAGGCGTGTACAGCTGCGCTAAGATCTTCTATGCAAGTTCCTCTACAAGAGCGCAAGCGCCGTACAGGGCCCCTGACTGCGCCAGGCAAAACACTGAACCAAGCCATGAGCATCGAGTGTGTGTTCGCTCCAGATGAAATGTTCGCTCTGCGTTGTTCCCCTCCGCCTCCCATTTCCTTCCCCCGACGAGGAAGACGACAAGGATTCGGACCCCGAGATACTGAATCGTGAAGAAAACAATGCCGTGGAATCATACGACTTAAGTTTCCGACACTATCTCTCCACCTCGTCTCTCGAGCCGTAAAGACCCATGAGGGACCCAGAGTCCGAAACGAGGTCAAAACGGCGTCGATGTTTTGGCGATGCCCAGATGTGAGGGTTTTTCTTTCCTAGTGAACGGGGCACTATTCGGGCCTCAGGTGGCCATCCGGGACGGGTCAACCGCCTCCTGAGGGCACGCGGCAAGGTGCGATTGCTGGCCGTGCCCGCAAACCTCCAAAGAACCCAACAACAGGAAAAGCTTGAAGCACATGCAGGGACCCAGATCGAGCCCGAACCTCTCCCTCCTCATTCTTCCCCTGGAGGTCCTGGGAGGTGGAAAAGAATGGAGAAACGTGGCCCTCAAATGTCGATCGACGATCGTCGATCGATCGATGCTGGGTCGACCAACGGCCAAGGCAAACTCCGAGAGGGCGCAGGCGGACTCGGAGCGCCGAGCGGAGCACCTGCAGGCTGGGGAGATCGCCTCGCAGGACCGACCCTGACGCCTGCCGGGCGTTGCCGCCGCCAGGTCCTTTGTGAGTCGTGTTCTGTTGATGTTACGTCGAGGGCAGCCGAGGGGGGTGGTGATGGCAAGGGGAGGGGGAGATCATATCCATGGCCATGAAACCACCTCAGATTCCATGACCCCCCTTGTCTTTTTTCACTGCGTTCCTGGGGCCCCCATGGCCCGCGCATGTGCCTCGGGCCATGGCTTGCGAATCCCGCTTTTTGACGCCCCCCACTTAGACGCCCCGGACTGCTGGTCCCGGGGAGGCTTGACCCCCAAAAGAGGTCCTTGGGAGATGTATTTCCAAGGTCGCCATGAAGGACAGCAAGTCCTGAGGGAAGCAGGCCCCGAGGTTCTTCCCCATTTTAGGCATTCCGGGGCCCTTCCCCCGTGAACCATCAGATACCGATGTATGGTGTTGTCCATGAGTTGTGTGTCGTCGAGACTCGTCTAGCCATCTGGGGGGGCCGGACTTGTACCGCACTGCAGCCCGTGGCCCGAATTGCGGCCCGGAAGCCGACAAGTGAAAAGAGGAAAAGGAAGAATCAGGGAATAACAAAACACACACATAGACAACATAAATAATCTTCGATTGCCCGGAGAATGTGGAACGTGTGAGAAGTGAAGGGGAAGACGAACATCCATAATGCAGGACATATGGGGAATCCTGGGATTTATGCCTATTTGTTTGTGTGTCCCTGGAATTCCCCGGGCCCCTCCGACGAGGGGAAGGAGGATGCTTTTTTACTTGTGTGCTTCTCGAACGTAGGCGCCCTCGTCGCTATTGCCTTGCCAGTGTCGCCCCGAAACTCCAGTCATGAATTCGCCCCAGCAGAGGTCTTGAGGAGTAGTACTATGAGGCAGGTAGGATCATCGACTAGACGTAAGAGTGACCTTTCGCCAGAGTCATCTTTGGTGCGGGCCCACTGGGGCCACCCTTGCGTGTAGCCGAGATCAGGGGGGATGCATCGACCCCCAATCGCCCAATGATCGACGACATGGGTCCGATGGCCCACCCCGCCCTCAAACGTGTGGGTTTGCTATCGGGGGCCCCGTCGCCGAACTGCAGGCCATGTATCGCAGATTCCAGATCGATGCTTCCCACCGTGAGCCTGTCCCCCCTACAGTCGGACCAATGTATAAGATCGGGACCGATTCGGGGAGGGTGCCCTACTTAATTTTCATCGTGTGTGTTGGATGTTCTTGTGCATCCTGGGGAGGATACCTTGAATGTTCTGTGTGGTTTGGCTGGCGGAGCGTCTCGCTCTGCGCCACGTATCCCGCAGATGCTCCCAGCTGCCAGACGTTCGTGCCATGCGTCAACTACGCTGCCAGACATATGTGGGCGACTGACTGGGCTGCACCCGCAGCCTAGTCATCTGACGGACGCCTCAGTGCCCAGGCGATTTTCAACATATTCGTCTCGACGGCGTCAGGTTCGACACTCATGCACTCATTTACGAGCAGTGGAGGAGGGCTCGCGTCCTCAAGTTCATCGTGGCCAACGAGACGCTTATGGCCGCAGGCGCGGGACAATATATATATATATATATATATATATATATATATATATCCAGATGGAGCGCACGATGACTGCGTCACCGACGCTCGAGAGGACGCTGCCAGCATTGCTGAGGGAGGACCCTCACCAGCACTTTCGGCTATGCCATCGGAGACCGGCAGCGACTCCGACGGCCACATCCAGCAGGTCATGTGGGCAGCTTGGCCTGAAGTCGAGCGGGCAGAGGATTTGGCCCAGGAGCTGGAAGAGCTGGAGAGCGACGACAGCCGGCAGATGATCTACGCTGCTGTCGAGCACTCCGCGGCCGGACTTGGTCGCCGGCCACGCGAATGGCCCCGGCGCCTCGAGACGCAGCGCCAGCGCCGGGGCATCTTCGCGCAGCGCCACCACTACCTGCGCGGGGCCGCCCTGGGCGACTACGCCACGCTAGAGGAGGAAGAGGACGAAGGGAGACGGCACGTGGAGTGTTATGTCGACGCGGGGGCGCGCGAAGCATTCCTGAGCTTTAACGAGGAAGCGCCTGGCAATTATTTGTGCGACGTTTCGTGCTCAACTTGCACGCCGCCGCCCAGACGTGGTCATCAAGCGCGACGCCGATATCTTGACCAAGGAGGACGTGCCCAGGCTTTCAGACATGAAGCGGCAGCAGCCATGCTCGAGGAGCTCCCAGTCCGGGCCAAACACAAGCGTTTCGGAAGGCGGCCGCTCAAAGGCGCCCGAAACGTCACGGACCCCAGGCGCATCTTCAAGAGGAACCACCTGGAGGGGCCCGACGGCGAGACCGCGCGGATCAACTGGCGCCGCGCTGCTCTCAGAGGCTTTCGCGACTTGGGCGCCGGGGCCCTGAAGACGTTCGCGAGGACAGCGAAGGCCTCGCAGCGAATGCTGCCTTCGGAGGCGGCGCGTCGCCCAGACTGGGTCTACGTCGCCGCGGACGTGGAGGAAGGTTTTCCTGCAGGGAACGGCGCGCGCCGAGATGCAGGAGCAAGGCGAAGCACCGCGCGGGGTGAACTTCCCGCTGCCGGGCAGCGCAGCCAACCTCAGGCAGGCGCTCTGCTACGAGCCCTTCGACGAACGGGCTGAGCGCCTGCGCTGCGCCGAACCATGCGCGGGCCGCGCGCCCCGAGCCTTCCCCAAGAAGCTCGCCCAGTCCACGCGCTCATTGGAGCGCAGCGCCAAGCCAACTGGGTGGAGCCGTCCGTCGACTGCGTCGCTGGCGACCCGAAGCAAGTGCGCATGCTGTCCAAACGTGTTGACGATCTGACCGCCAGCCTGCGTAAGGAGCACGTTGGCCAGCCGACGGCGCAGCGACGCTCGACCAGGACAAGTAAGTCGACGCCCTGATACCGATCAGGCACGACGACCTGGTCAAGGCGAAGGCCGACGAGCCGGCCGGAGGTCAAGTACCAGACCTTTTCGTCTTCTTGCGGGGGGGGCAGCAGCCTGCGCTCTGCTCGCGCCCAGCGCCACGTCGCCGTGCACACTGTTGCATAGCAGAGGGCCAAGAGCAGGTTGCTCATGCGCCACGCGATGCAGCTCACTTCAGTTATCTTGGCCATGCATAAGATCAATATGCGCATTGCGTTTCCTGCCGTGGAATGCGCCGACCAGCTCCGTGCACGCAGCGGCGGCTACTTCGAGCGAGAGGAGGAGACCTGGTACGGCACGCGAGGTGCCGTCTACATGCATTTGGGCAAGTGCCGCAATGCTAGCAAGGATGTCTGCCATTTGCTCGACGCTGTGAGCCGCTTGCGCAAGCTTTCGTGCAGGTCTTCGTTCGACTCCGAGCTGCTCCCGGCCTGCGGCGCAGCTGATGGGTTGCACGCTTACCTCCTTGCTCTCCACGAGGTGATCCGTGGGCCAGTCTCAGCCGACAAGATCAGGAAACGAAAAGAGATTTGGCAACCGCCCGAACACAACATGGCCAGCGACCTGTGGCGATTATCAAATTGATTCCGCACCGATCATATTGAGTGTATGTTTTGGTGTTACACTCGCGACACACGGGTCGACCTTTTGACCAAACAGAGCATCGGCCGAGAGTTGGTCCTGGACATCATGAATGGCCAGCTCAGCTACGACGAAAGCGCCGTCAAGCTCAGCGAGGAGCGGCACAAGAAGTTAGCGCCGAGCTCCCAACACAGCGATCTCACCGTAAAGGAGAAGGGCGACACGAATGATTGAATCATCAGGCGCCCCCATCTAGAGGACTACGTTCGCGAATGCGACGTCCGACTGTGCCGGTGAGGGTGGGCGCACTGTCGCAAACGCAGCGAAAGCACGGATCGACCAACATAACGGGCAATGGCGACTTGGGCTTGCATGACTATATCGTCGCTGTCCAAGGCCTCAGAGATGACAGTGAAAGGCGTGCAATTGAGAGGGCTGCCTCCGAGTTTCTGGGGTAGTGGGCGAGTGAAAAGTCGAGCACGCATGTGAACGAGGGATGATCCATTCAATCTTGAACTGTTGGCGCCCTCTTAGTATGTGCTGGCAATTTTTTGTGCAGCCCGTTTGCTGGGTCTTGGGGGTGGTCCCGGTGTTTTGCGCTCTGGCTGCCGACTAGGCACGACAAACTCGCTTGAGCACCAGTCTCGAACCGTACCGGTTTGCATTATGTTTGCTTCTACCATATCCTTTATTATTGCCTTTTGGGATTCAATGGAGTTCCCATTCGTGCTCGTTTGGCGCATGCCTGACACATGTTTGATCTGTCTAACTCTGATAGGGTGTTCCTTGTTTGCGTTCACCCCTTACATCATCAGTCTTCTCCTTCTCCTCCTCCGCTTCCTCTTCCTCCTCCCCCATCATCCACCTTCCATCCCTCCTACACACGCATGCACACTTTCTCCCTAAACATATATATATATATATATATCACCCTTTATCACCACATTTCTCTTCTCCACCTTACTCCTTTTTCTCCAAACTCCCTCCTCCTTCTCCGCCTCCTCCTCTCCCTCCTCCTCCTCCTCCTCCTCCTCCCTCCTCCTCCTCCTCCTTGATGTGGTGCATCCCATACGTACGTGCCAAATTTGAGGCGATGGAATGGGTGGATTCGTCTGGTTGGAGTGGTGCTCTCGACGAACTCGCTCGTCATATCTGCATGGTTGCCTGGGACACCTCTACCGAGGGGCGCCTCAATACTGTAGATTACTTTCGGTGGCTGAATGACCCGCGTAACTCCTTGACGCGGCACGGGCTCTGGGAAGAGATGGTGGATCGACATTTCCAAGCCCTTCGTGAGATTCGCAGAGAGATGAGGCAATACTTGGGACCCGCTGCACCACACCGTATTCGTGACTTCCTTGTGGACAGCAATGGAGACGAGTCCCTGCCCATCGTTGCTGCCAACGGGTCGGTGCGCTACTTTGCCTCACTCGTCTCAGCAGTGGATCCCGATGATGGCGATGCCGCCGATGGTGATGGTGACGTTGACCATGCCTCTTTCCTCCTCCAGGTCTCGATCGCAGGGTGCTCCTCGAGCCCTGCGGCCACTGGCGTTAGAACGCGGAGGTCGACCGCCTCTGATGGAAATAACGGCTCTGGAGTAAGTTGTGAGCTTGCGTCTCGAGTTCGGAGGTCGACCGCCTCTGTTTTAAATAAGGGCTCTGGAGTAAGTTGCGAGCCTGTGTCTCGAATTCGGAGGTCGACCGCCTCTGTTCTAAATAAGGGCTCTGGAGTAAGTTGCGAGATCTCGTCTCTTGTGCGGAGGTCGACCGCCTCTGATGGAAATAAGGGCTCAGACATCGAGAATTGCGCCTTCTTCGTGCATTGCGCCGACGTCGAGTGTTGCCCCGTCATGGTGAGTTGCGCCGTCTTCGAGAGTTGCGCCGTCTTCGAGAGTGTCTCCGTCAACGAGAGTTGCGCCGTCTTCGAGAGCTGCACGCCATCATCGAGAGTTGCGCCGTCTCGGAGAGTTACGCCGTCGTCACGAGCTTCTCCGTTGTGGACACGGATCGCCTCTCTCTTCGCTACTACCCCGTGCTCGTTTTCCCCGACCTGGCCGTGTTCGACGGCTGCCGCCCCTTCGTTTGCGCCCTGTCCGTCGCTGATGGCGGGACCCTCCTCTTCGATTTCGCCTCTGACGAGTATTTCGTCGTCATGGTCATGCAGTGCTACTCTATCTTCTTCTATTGGTACGAGTCCTGGTACAGGAGTTGGGGGCACCCTCAGATTGCCCTATGTGTGTGAGTGCCGTCGGAAAAGGCTCCTGTTGCCCATTTTCCTCAGGCGCCCGAGCCCGAGGCACCTGCATAGTAGGCGGAAGTACAGGCGTAGGTTGTCTTCCCAACGGGGGGCGCGGTGCGAGTGGGGACTGCCCGGCGGTGCGCCGTTAGTGACCCTCGCACCGTTGCTCCCCGGCCCCGCGCACGGCGCGGAGAGTGCCCCGTGTTGGATGAGGGTCTCTCTCTCGTCCCTTTCCTTTTCGAGGCGTGTTCGTGATTCCCCTGCACGCTCTCGGCACTGTCCTCACTGCTCTCTGCGTCTCGTCTCGGTCCCATCTTGCGTTCTCGCTCCCCCCTGCACTCAGCATCCTCTGAATAAGAATGATATAAATTCGACGGCTATCCGCTGCACATCATGGGCTGCAGCGTCGGCGGCCTCAGCTACAACAGCTTCGACAGGAGGCGTGCCCATGCTGCCTCAGGCGCCGGGCTAGGCGCGGGGAGCTGACCTCTGGGTACGCTGGTCTCCTCCTCCTCCTCCTCCTCATCATCGTCATCATCATCTTCCCCAGCACTACCGCTTGAACCAATGTTCCCCTCAGCCTCATCCCGAGATAAAGGGGTGGAGGGGAAGAGTTCCGAGGGGGAGGATGTAAGTAGAAGGAGGAAGAGGAGGAGGAGGAGGAGGAGGAGGAGGAGGAGGAGGAGGAGGAGGAGGAGGAGGAGGAGGAGGAGGAGGAGGAGGAGGAGGAGGCGGAAGAGTAAGAGGAAGAGGAGGAGGAGGAGCAGGAGGAGGAGGAGGAGGAGGTGGTGGAATCCTCTTCCTTTTCCGCCCCGGAAGAGGAGGATAGGAGGAGGAGGAGGAGGACAGGGAGGACGAGGTGGAGAAGGCTCCACGTATACAGGCGCTGGCGGAGCGCAGTGGGTGACGGGGGCGAGGCTGCGACAATCGATTGGCGACGGGGTGCGATAACCCTATCCCGAGGGATTGCAGGAGAAGGAGGACGAGGATGAGAAGCACGAGAGGGACGACAAGGACGCGAGAGCACGCTCGCAGGGGCCAACCGAGCGAAAGGGAACACGCCCGCGGGAGCAGGAAGGGGAGGTTGAGGAAGTTAAGTCCGAGGGTCAGGATTCCTCCTCCTCCTCCTCGTGCTCCTTCTCCTCCTCCTCCCCCTCCCCCTCCCCCCTCTCCCCCTCCTCCTGCCCCAGGACCCCACGAGGATGTAGTTGTCTGCCGTGCTGTTTTGCGTTTGGGATGAGCTCTCGCAAAGAAGTGGAGGAGGTTTGCAGGCGCGAGCTGGAAGCTCGTGCCTTGACTGCTTCTGGGAGAGCCAAAGGCGGGCCCGACCCAGAAGGCGATCCATTTCTTTTTGGAGGGTATCCTGTCGGTGGGCCCCGCACGAGATGGCGCCCACTGCGCGGGGAGCAACAAGTTCCCCTCGGGTGGATGCCCGTATCCCGTTTTCCTTCTTTCCCTCTTGACTGTCTCCCTCGATCGGCAGTGAACCTCCTCCTCCTCCTTCTCCTCCTCCTCCTCCCTCTCTTCCTACTCCTTCTCATACTCCTACTCCCCCTCCTCCCCCTCCTACTTCGTCCTAGAGGCCTCCGCCGCGCCCTGAACACATACACATACACACACATATTTGCCCGATCGCCCGGCTGCTGACAGGAGCTGGAGCGGGCGCGGGCCGAGGTGGAGTTCCTCCGCCGCTCCCTGGAGAAGGCCGCGGCCGAGGCGGAGGAGGCGCGCCAGCACCGATTCTGCGCGAGCGGATCTTCGCAGTCGCGACCGACTAGTGTCAAATCACGACGGTCCACATGGGTACGGAAAGAATGGGTACAAAGTCCCACAGCAGCCCTTGCCCATTCTGAACCAGATTCGTTGTCGGCGTCGCCGCGGCCGTTGCCCACTTGAGACAGAAGGCGGCCTGCCCGACACGGGCCGCTGTCGGTTTTGGACAACATTTGTGATTGGACATCTTGCAATGTTTCCCGTACCCATTTCGGACATCCGCAAGGGCTTGACGTGTTCGCTAATCGACTTGTGGGGATCAAGCCGGGTAAATGAATGCAAACGCAGGCAAATCGATGCAAATCCAGGCGAAGCCGGGCAATCCAGGCGCATCCAGGTAAATCCAAAAGAGATCTCCAAGAAATGTTGAGCAGATCGTGGCCGCTCCAGCGCCAGTCGAGTGACGGCAGAAGTCGTTGAGCCCTTAACGAGCGAGATCGGTCGGTACCGATTTGTTTCAATCGAAGAAGGAAGCCATGGTACAAATTTAAACTTTCAGGGGCCGCGCGGGTGTCTTGGACCCGCGCTGGGCCTCCCTGGCGGCGCCTCCGGCGCTGCCTCTGGCGCGCTCCGGCCCAGCGCAAATCTAAGACATTTGTTTGTGCCGTTTTCTTTCCTTTACTCGAACTCCGGTATCTGTCGCAACCGATTTGCTTCAAAGTCGGTCGCGACCGATTTTGGAGTCGGTCGCGATTGGTCGCGACTGAGTTGGTCGCTACCGATCGCGACCGAACAATTCCTGTATCTATGATCTAGGAAGGGCTCGACTCAGGCCGCGCCCCCAGGAGGTCGTCCGTCGTCACTGTCGTCGTTTCGCCGTCGTCGTCTGCCGTCGTCGTTCGTCGTTCGTCGTTCGGTCGTCGTCATGGTTCGTCGTCGTCGTTCGTCGTCGTCGTCTTTGTCCGCCGTCATCGTTCGTCGTTCGTCGTCGTCGTCCGTCGGTGGCTGCCTCTTCTTTCTGCTCGTGGCCATCGGTGGGCGTGCGCGAGGCCAACCCAGAAGCCTAGAATCTCCACCCTCTGCCCATCGCACCCACGCCGCTTTGGTCGCCAGGAATGGTTTCAAAACACGCACGAAAGAGATCCACCGGACCATCAACACCAAGACCGAGGACGTGCTTGGAGCTGGGCCCGAAGAGCGTGGTCCGACGTTCTCGAACACATCCTCGCCGACACGGGCCGGCGCTTCGCCAATGCGGGCGAGCACTTCGTCGACACGTGCCAGCCCGTCGCTGGCACGGGCGATCACGAGAACGCTTTCGAACACTAGCACGCCGACGCGGGCCAGCATGGAGAGGCATTCCGCGCAATGGGATCATGAAGACCACGGACAGCGAGCTGTTCCGATTGTACGAGATCGAGGGGAAGGTCATGGACTCCGCGCACCAGGGCGTGGAGGTGCGCTTTGCCGAGCGTCTTTCCGACAGCGAGGAGTTGATAGTCAAGACGCGCGTCAAGGTGTTGTCATTGTAGGAAGCCTCTGAGGAGAAAGAGTGGCGAGACACGACGATGGCACAGCTGAACATGCCCAAGGTAGAGAACATGTGCGAGTACATTGGCGCCTATTAGGCTGCGGATACTTATTACCTTGTCAAGGAGATGTACGGGCAGCTGCAGCGGGTGCAAGTGTCGACGGAGGACGCGCAGCAGATCGTCTTCCAGATGCTGACGGCGCTCAGTGTGATGCACGACGGGCAGGATCCACAAAGACCTGAAGCTTGAAAACGTCGTGGTGGAATTGGCATCCCACAGGGTGCGAAGGAGAAGCTCCAACGGCTCCGCGACCTCCGTAGAGGCGAAGCTGAAAGTCCCCGTACAGAACGGACAGATTCGACGACCAGCCTGGCGAGAATCGGGTCGGCAGCCCAGCGATAAGGCGCCTACAGGACCGCCTCAGAAGTAAGAAGGTAGAAGTCCGCCTCAGAAGTAAGAAGTAGCGATGTCGGCCGCCTCAGAAGTAGATTTCGGCCTAGCGATGTCGACCGCCTCAGAAGTAAGAAGGTCGATTTCGTTCGGTCGCCGCTGAACAAGCTGCCGGACGCCCAAGGCCCCGAGGAGAAGATGCCGGCCCCCGGCCCCAGGGAGCGCCCGCCGACCGCCGAGGCGCTGCTCCGCCCGTGGCTCCGGCAAGCATAGGGGGCCACACGCGAACCCAACCCCTACAGTCGGGGCGTTGACTAAAGGAACCCTAAATAAGGAACGAGGCGCTGTTTTCCCATAAGTTAAACTTCGATATCCTATTCGAAAACATACGAAAAACCTGAGGCAAGCTGTGAAACACTTAAGGACCGCGGAGCCCCTCCCCAACCAAAAGGGTTCCTTCTTCAGGGCCCCGACTGTAACCCCCCCCCCACGAGTTCTGAGGGGGAGGGCGGGGTTCACTTCGTTCGGGAGCCGTCGAGCGAAGTGAACCCCACCCTCTCCCTCTCAGAAATCGTGGGGGATGGGGGCAGGGTTCGCGTGTGGCCACCTAGAGTAGGTGACGGCGTCGCGTGCTCTTAGTCGACGAGCGCACTTAGTTTCGCGCTCATCTATTCGCGCCGCCCAGTAGGAGAAGGACAACCGCTCTGGCACAGACCGCGATGCGCGAAGCGCGATCACCTCGCGCCTCCACGGGTGACCTAGGACACCGCATGATGCGGGCGAAGCGCGATCGCTTCCGCGCCTCCGCAGTGTGATCGGGCCTCCACCTCCACGGGCCCCTGCAGCAGGTCTTTATCTCTGAAGTCCCGAATGTACATAGCTGGCTCGGCCGTCTGCATCGCGGTATCTCAGAGCGTGAATTACTTACCCCGCTTTCGCTTCCAGGCAAAACCAAGCCATACCACGCGCCTCCTCGTCAAGCGGCCTGACCAGTACAGGCTGCAATTTGGCATCGTTTGGTATCTCTTGGAAGCGAGGGTGGTCAAAAGCGAGGTAGGTTTGTTTTCCCCCTAGTATCTCCGTCCTTGAACTCTGGGAAGTCCGCGAGCAGCGTCGCGAGCTATTCTCTGGAGAAGATGCCGCTGCCCGGTGAGCCAGAGTGAGGCCCCAGTTAGGCGCCTTCGGTTGCGTGACGAGTGCCGCGTCCGCTCGATGCGACGCCAGGCGTGGCTGAGAGAGTGGTGCGTAAGGGACCCTTTTCGAGGGCTCGTGGGCGAACCTCGGTTGAGCGCTCTGCGGGAAGGCGCGCTCGGGAAGCGGCCGACGCGGCCGTAGGATCAGCTCGCCGAGGCGCACTGTCTGATCGTAGCCGTCGAGTCGGACGTCGGCCGTGGCGCCCGAAGAGGGAGGTGATGTGCCTGGTCCCAGGCTGCGGCTCATCGTGCAAGTGCTGGTCGCTGGCGAGCGCGCAGCGAGGTCTGCGTTGGTCGGGCGGGGTGTGGCTTCGCACGACGTTGACACGCCCGCACATATCATCGCATGTGCCTCCCCGCGGGAGCTCCACAGACGCTGACATAATTTGGCTCAGGAGAGGCTCTGATTCTCGGTCCGCTTCGTAGACTCGACGTCGTGGAATATGTTTGTGGCCCAGGCCCACCGTTGCCAGACAAGCCCTGTCGTTACTTATCATGCGCTCCTTGTTGTAGCACGACCGCTGTAACGCCTTCGGTGGGAGGGTCGGGCAAGGCCTTCGGTCGAGACGGCCTCCAGGGCGAGCGCCTCGGGCTTCGCCGCCGCCGCTGGAGGCGGGAGCGACGCGTTGCCTGCGGAGGCCGCCGGCGTGGTCCCCGGGGCGGGCCAGCGGGTGGCGATCGGCCTCGCGCCGCTCGCCACCCGCTGGCACCTGTGGCGCGCTGTGCTTGTCCTCCATGGACGGCTCCGAGGGGGTGGAGGTTCTGGAGTCCGTCGGCGGGGAGACCGGCTCCAGCGACTGCTCGCGGACAGATCCCGAGCATCCGCTCGGCTCTTGTGGGCATGGTCGTGCCGAGGCGGAGGGTTGCGTCGAGTTCTCGGCCTCTGCGCCGTGGGAGGGCGCGAGTCTGTGTTGGCCTTTTTCATTCGTGGACTTGTAGATGCTTGTACGCGCTCGCATCCAACGTAGCCGTGGTGCTCCTCTGGTCGGTCTGAGAAGCATAGCCCTTCCGAAAGGCGTCGCCCGGGCCACGGATTCCAGGCCTTACCTCCCCTCGCCTCCTCATATTCCTTCCATTTCCTCCATCCCCTCCTCCTCCTGCTCATTCGTCATCCTTCGCCTTCATCCTCCTCCGCATCCTCCTCCTCCTCCTCCTCCTCCTCCTCCTCCTCACTCCTCTTTCCTCCTCCTCCACCATCGTTTGCCCAATCATCCTCATCATCGTGAGCCCCGCTTTCACACCCTCTCAAATTTCCCCTCCCGCATTGCCCCATGTCTCCTATCTGCTGCTGTTCCTCTCCCTTGAACCATTCGCTTTCATCGTTCCTCATGTTTCTCATCTCTCCTCTCTCCTCACCGTTCGTTCCCGGCAAAAAGTACTGGTGTGAAGAAACCTCCACGCTCCACATGCTGCTGCTGCTGCTCCTCCTCCTCATCATCATCAGCAGCAGCAGCAGCATCAGCATCAGCATCAGCATCAGCAGCAGCATCATCATCATCATCAGCATCAGCATCATCATCATCATCATCATCGTTCTTCTCCGCATTCCTTCATCATCCTGCCTGCTCATCCCATTGCTTTCCATCAGCGTTCCGTCCCCTCCTCCTCGCCCCTTTTCTCCATTCTCCTGCTCCCGCTCCTCATCCATCATCGGTTCATCCTCCTCCGTGTTCCTCTTCTTTCCCATCGCCCTACGTCCATCCCCCCCCTTCCCTTGATGATCATTCCCGCCTCCTGTTCCTCCCTCAGCTTCCCTTCTCCCGCTCCCTCCCCCCTTCCCCTCCTCCCCTCGTCCTCCCCCCCCCCTCCCTCGTGGGCCCTCTCCCCCGGCGCCTCCCCTCGTGGCTAGACGTTCGACGGGCGGCCTGAGCCCGGCCCCACCAGGGTGGCGCACCGAACGGCCGAAGGCAGGAGGGCGGAGCCCGTCCACCCAGGGCCGTCCCCCTTCACGGGGATGGGCTCGGCACCGAAAGCGATCCACAGAGCAAAAAATCTCCATCCTCCTCCACCTCCTCCCTCCTCCCTCCTCCCTCCTCCTCCTCCTCCTCCTCCTCCTCCTCCTCCTCCTCCTCCTCCTCCCTCCTCCTCCTCCTCCTCCTCCTCCCCTCCTCCCCCCCCTTCAGCTGCCCTGCCCTGCTCTGCCCTACCCTGCCCTGCCCTGCCCTGCCCTTCCTGCCCTGCCCTGCCTCCTCCTCCTCCTCCTTCCTCCTCCTCCTCCTTCTCCTCCTCCTCCTTCCTCCTTTTTCCTTCCTCCTCCTCCTCCTCCCTCCCTCCCTCCTCCGTCCTCCTTCTCCTCCTCCTCCTCCTCCTCCTCCTCCTCCTCCTCCTCCTCCTCCCCTTCTCCTCACCTCCCCTCCTCCTCGCGCAGGCCAGGGCGGAGGAGAAGGGGCTCGAGGCCCGCCTGGCGGGCGCGCTGCAGGAGCCGCGGCCTCGGCCAGCCGCCGCGCTCTGCACCGTCCAGGCTGCCTGGAGGAGGAGGTGATGATGGATCTGCGGTAGCTTCACGCGGCGATGGCACGCCGGCGACGCTGGCGAAGGCGTGCAAGGTTGAATTCCGCATGATAGAACGACGTGGAAGCACTGAGGGACACGGTAATGCCACAGGGCCCGACGGCATTCAACCTTCAATGAGTGGGGCCGCGATCGATTCAAGATTGAACGATCGACGCGGTGTTGAAAAACCTTTGCGCGTGCCGACGCCGCGCGAACTTGCCATGGCCGGGGCGTTTCAGAAACGGCCTCGCCTTCGAGGATCGAAGGAGTCGGCATCTTTTCCCTCGGCGGAAGGCGGTGGAAGGATGGTGGAAGGCCGGCGGAATACGGCGGAAGCCAAACGAGGGCGGTTCCGCCGGCGGCAGCTCGGCAGAAGCTGACGGAAGCAAGCAGTTGCCTTGCAGGAGATGACAACATTTTTGGTTTCAGGGTTTTTGGGACTCGCCATCTGTGATCGGTATGCCGCCTTCGCGGGGCATCCTATCCAAGCCTTCATCCTTTCTTCGAACAATGTCTTCCCTTCCATGAAGTTCGGGCCAAGCTCGGTCGCAACCACAAGCGTCCTGCTCTTTTCTGACGATGCTTGCTGGGGTGGTTGGATCGATAACCTACAGTGCCAGCCCGGCTGGCAGTCGACGCACCGAGATGCAGGTCGCCAGCCGCAAAGTGGGGATCGTTGTCATCGGTAAGTCCCCCGACGGCACGAACGGCTTCCTGCGGTAGCGGGCGGCCCCCTGTCTGTCTTCATATATGGTCCCTACCTTGCGGGATAATCCATTGGAAATTCGACGACAGCGCCCGATGTTTGCACAGTTCAATTCCTTGGTATTTGTGCGTCCGTAGTCTGATTTTTTTGCTCGAGCTGTTTTCTCGCAAGTGGATGCCACTTCCGAAATCCTGTCATGTTCTCATCGGCGCTGTTTGGGGATACTTGGTTACTTGGTGGAAACCGACAGGCAGTCTCGGCTGTACGCGATGCACCCGGTTAGCGTGGATGTCGAATTTCATAGTGCTGGTGTGTGTGTGTGTGTGTGTGTTTGTGCAAGTGTTCGTATCCGCAGCCCTTCGAGAGCCCCAAGAGAAGCAATTGTGTCACTCATACCTTCATCGATAATCACCACCACATCCATCCATCCGTCGAATCCATCCCTTGGATCAACGTTCTCTGTGCGATCCAAAGCAGTTGCTGTTCCCTCCTGGCCCTGTGCTCCTGTTGTGCTCGCCATTGCCTTGATCGGCGCGCTCCCAGGACAGCAGGCGCAGGCGGGACCTCCTCCACCAGCACAGCCAAATACCAACATGCGCCGTCTACTGGTCGACTTCGCGGGGGGGGGAAGGGGGGGGCTTCGCGGGTGAGGGGTACTCACACGAACGTTTGGTGATTAAGGGCCATCCTGGTGGCGGGTCGGCATGGGTCACGACGCCCGACCAAGATGAATACAAGGAGGACGACCGCAATGACCCCAACATCGTTTCCGTGACCTTCTTGGACGATGCAGGTCGCCCGCCCGCTCCGCCCCACCAGTCCGTCTATGTTTCCCGCGCGCCTCCGACGTTGGCCTTCCTGCTGACGGCCTTGGCGACGCGGATGTGCAGGCTCAGCTGCTGGGCTGGGGCCAGGTGGGCGCAGTCGTGCCGCAGCGGGTGGGAGTTGTCGGGGCCCCAGGCGCTGGGAAATGGCTCCTGGCGGAGCAGCGCGGTACTTTCAAGATTGGTGACGAGGCCCCAGTGGCCCCCATTGGACCACTCACGAGCTCGAAGGCACTGTTATCCTGTACGCTGCCGTCTGGCGGTGTGGTGCCCGTGTTCGTCGAGCAGGTGGTGACTCAGAAGGTCAGCGGCTTCCGCGACGAGAAGATCGACCTCTACGCGTCCGAGGTGAGCGACTGTCGGCTCCTGAAGCCGAGGTTCGAGCACGGCGTGCGGAACCGCAGCTTCAACGATGGGGCGCTCGAGCTGTTCGAGGAGCCTTGTTTGGACGGCTTCCCGAAGGGCCCGCGATCTCCCTGGGGACGGCGACCACCTTGCGTTCTCAGGGCGTCACGTGGCAGACCCAGGGTCGCGAATGGCCCGTGGCTGCCCGCATCCCGCCTGGCGATCGCTCGGTGCACGTAGACAAGCTAATCTGCGAATTGCTCCACGCGCTGCAATGTATTGACCAGTGCAATCTGGCGAACCTCGTGGGGGCCGAGCTGCTGCTGCGCCGCAAGAGCGTGCCAGAGGAGGCGCACTCGTCTTAGCCTAGCAACCCCGACTACAGCGCCGTGCCTTGACGAGCACGGCCAGCAGGCTTAAGGACAAGGCGGCGATCTCGAATGAGAAGAGGAAGGCTATCGACGAGTCCAGGCTGGGGTGCACATGCGGCCTTGGCAAGGACAAAATGGACCCCAGCAAGAGTTAGGGGGGTCACGCGGCCACCTTTTCAGGCGCCCTGCTGGGTGCTGCTCGTCGGGCGCCAGCACGCCGCTGATGTCCGACTCCCGCTTGGCCCCCCGTGAGCTCCTACCTCTTCCTCTTCTTCTGCCGACTTCGGTGTCGACGTCCTCTTGGCCGAGGCGCCGCGGCGGGCGGCTGCAGCGGCGCTTCGACCGCGAAAGAAAAGTCTTGAGCCGCGCCTCCGATTCCGTTGGGGCGCTGAATTGGTTGCGTGGCGTGCTCTAGCCGCTTAGTTTCTCGAGCCCCACCCTGTCGCGGGAGAAGGCCCTACAACACCTCTCGGTTTTTCATCGGACGTCTGTCCCGGAGGCCGTCAACGTCGAGGCAGCCCGCAAGGAGTTGCTCGGCGCAGGTCAGGATTGCCAGGGCGGCCCTGGCCTCGCTGTCGCAAGTTGCGACAAGGACCTGCTTCCCCTGCCCCTGCTCGGGGCTTCGCTTGTGGATTTGATTACTGCGCTAGGGGGCAGGCCCAGTGAGTGTCTCGTGAACTTTGAAGAGGAGATCTTACATGGGCCCGATGATTGGGGCCACACTGTTGAGAGCGAGGGGTATGTTAAGCCGTGCGTGGGCCCATCTTTGGAAGCTGACGCTGATGCTTATTTCGGTTCTGTTATGAGGGGTCACAAGTCGGGTTCGTTTCGCTTTGGCCGGGAGCCCCAGGTCGTCGTCACTCCTTTCTTTCTTCGCAACGAGGAAGTCTGGAGCTTCGAGGTTGATCCCTGACTGCCGCCCTACCAAACGCAGGACGCGCAATGGCCCTTATGTTCGGCTGGGGGGGGCCAGCAGATTTAGCGCGTCTTCTGCGTGCGCGTGCCGACGGGGGCCCGCGCGTGGCCCTCGGCGATGTCAGGGGTCATTTTCATTGCTGTGGTCTCCCGCCAGGTCCAAGTCCATATTATTCCCTGCCGCCAGCGTCAGGCGTGCGACTTTTCCAGGCTGGCACTCATGAAGTATCTGGGGTCCGCGCACTGCCCTCTGACAAAATCTTCCCGCAGTCCCGAGTGATTCCCATGGCATGGTCTTGGGTCTGTGGTTTCGCTCAGGCCGCCGCGTGCTTCCTTGGCGCATCGGTTCCCTGGGGGTCGGGGGTGGCAGCGTGCTCGAGTCCTGCAACCCCCCCCTGGCCTGGGGCGCCCGGCGCTCAACGCTTACGTCGAGAATGTCATCATCTCTGGCCAGGGCAAGTCGCAGACCCATGGCCTCGCCGCCCAAGTTTTCGACGGCATTGAGAGCGCGGGTTTTCGCGTGCGCGGGCGCGAAGCCGCCGGCGAGCGCGCGGTCACCCTCGGTTTAGAGATCGACTTGTCACGCAGCGCTGCCCGTGGAAAAAGGCAGAAGAGGTGGAAATTGAAGGCGGTCCTCGACTGGCTCGGCTCCGCCCGTTGGGTGCCAAGTCAAGAGATGGAGAGGCTATTGGGTCGCGCTGCCTTCTACTTCGGCCTGGGCAAGTTGTTCCTGACCATCTTCAACAACGCGTGCGATCTTATTCGGGCGAGATATACTTCTCAGGTTCCTGTCTGGCCCCTAGTGGCGAGGGGGTGCCAGGCCGCTCGCCGCGCCGGGCCGCTCGCCGTCTCATACCGCTTGTTTTTCGCTGATCTGGGGGGGGGTTCGACCGGGAGGTCAGCTGTTTCGACGCTGGCTTACGCGGCGCCGCGGCCGCGACCGCGCCCTGGGACTCGCCCCAGGTTCGGGCGGAGTGCGACTGGGAAGAGAGATGGCGCTTCAAGCAAGGCGCATGTGACAGGGTCGCCCCGAGGCCGGGCAACTTCGCGTCGCTCGATTGAGGGGGCGTCGAAACGGTCAAGCCTCGTCGCGATCGCTCGTCCCTCTGGTCTCTGGGCGGGTCTTTCCGCGAGGTGCCGAAGGATAACATAACGGGGCCCACTTGGACCAAGGCCCCGCGTTGCCCCTGGAAGGACGAGGGGCCCATCTTCTGCCTCGAGGCCCGCGCGGGCCCCCCTGCTGTCCGTCGTCAATTGCGCGCCGCATCGAGTTTTGCGAAGACGCATTTGACTTGGGGGAGCTCCATGGCCGCGATCTTGGTCTTCGAGATGGGCCGAGCATGGGCGGCTCCTGGGTGCTTGCCGTCGTCTTTTGGCTCTCAGCGTTGCTTCAGACACTCGCCGTCACTTTCGCTGTGCCGCTGGGTGCCCTCTAGGCTGAATCCCAGCGACGCCGACTCTAGGTGTTTCGAGTTGCTGGCTGGCGGCGACAGGAAGCTGTTCCTTCGTCGCCCCACGGCTCGCGCTTGGGCGGTGCGAGCTGATGTCAAGGGGCCCTGGCGACCCGTCGTCGCGCGTGGCGGCGGCGGCCTGGAGCGCGACCGTCGCGGTTCACCGGCGCCCGGCGCCCTTGGGGTCTTCGGCAACTGCGGCGAGCTCTCGGGCACCGCGTCGCCCGGCGTCGGCTGCGCTTCCCCCTCGGCCCCCCCGCGAGACCGACCCCCTCGACGCGGCGATCGCAGAGAGGGCCCAGAGGTCGGATCGG